AAGCAAGGGAGTAAAGGAGAGTTCGGTGATCTCTTGGACAAATCACCCACTAGATAGACAAAATAGGGCCGCTACGCAAGGCCAAGGGCAAGGAAAGGTCTGAGGCTCCAAAGGCGGAACGACCCGTGACACGATCCTACGCTCGGGCCGGGGGTGAACTTCTCATCACAATAGTAACATAGCCCCTTCTCACGACGTTCTTGCGCCTCCTGGTTGGTGAGTCGCCGGAATGTTGATGGAGGAGCACTGGAAACCTGGTTGTGGGTGTGAGGATTCTTCATGGGCAAAAGGGTTGGTCTCGGGAGTGGTATTGGGAGTGGTTTGTGTGGCTCGAAAGGCTTGGAGTTCGGTTAACACTGCTTGTAAGACAGTGTTCACTTGGTCGAAGCTTGACTCATGTCGTGCTAAGGTTTCATTGACTTCATTGCGGAATTCCGCGTTGGTTTTTCCACGGGTGTCCATGGTCGAACCGGCTCTGATACCAATGATATGGTCAAGTTCTCAGACAAGGGAGAGAAGATTCAGAAATATAATAAGGAGAAGAGAGAGGGAGCTCGGTTGTAGGAAAAGCCAATGCCTTTATTCCATTCTTCAAGCTATATTTATAGTCTTATTGTGCTACAAACTAGGAGTTGAGATAGGAACTGCCGCCCCATAATCTAGGAGCTTATCAACAAGAAACAGAATGGACTTATCTACTAAAACAAAAAAACAAAAATGAAGACTTATCTACTTAAACAGAATTGAAACAGAATGGCTAAGGCTTATCCACTAACTAAGAACTATTATGACCGGGTCTCCTGCTGCTATCAACTTTGACCGGGTCTCTAGCTGTTGTGCTGCCTAGTGCATGCATGCACATGCACGTATCAGATTGGTAGAGGCATCACCTTTGCCCTCCTTAACTTGCATGATTTCAACTTGGATGGCACCAATTTGTTCTTGTAGGTCTCCAAGACATTGGTCAGTCTTAAGTATTGGGATCTCGGCCTATTTACATGCCTCCCTCACTTGAGAGAGATCTTGGTGGTTTCTAGAGTATTTTGAGTTGGTCGAGTCATGGGCTCTATGAGCATGGTGATCGTTTAAGTGACCATGAAGGTCTGGGACTTGTGGGGGAGAGGCACGATGTTGGCCAACCTCTGAGTGGCCAACCCCTAACTAATGAGGGGGGTTGTTGTGTACCGTACGCCCACTGTCGTCCCTATTGCAATTGGAGGCGGTATGGTCAGCATGGCGCTCTTGGTGGTTGTTCGGGAATCCGCGGGTGTTGGAGGCTGGATGGTTGGCACCTCGACTTTGAGGAAGCTTGGAGGTGTTGGAGCGGTGTTTGCTTGCTCGCAGGCTGCTACCACTCGACTTTGAGGGATCTCCTCTGACCTGCCTTCCCAATTGTTGACTTACTGAGTCATGGACAAATATTTTGTCTTGTTGTTCTTGCAAGGTGGCCATTTCGGAAGGCCTCTTGCCGGGCACATGTAAATTGTCCAACTACTAGGCCAAATAGTCTAGTCGTTGGAGTAAAACATTGAACTGTTCATGTGTGACCAAGTTCTGAGCAGCTTGGACGTTGTCTTGATTGTTAGCCATTGCTGGAAGTGTGAAATCGAAGATAATATTTTTTAAAGGGAAGATATCATCAAATCTTTCCTAGAGATGATGCCAATTGTTGCTACCAAATCTAGAGTTGAGGGTAGCTTGGTAACTTTCGAGATCCGATGGCAAAGTGTCCCACCTGCTAAGAGTGTAAAGATGCCAAAGGACCTGGGAGTGTTCCTAAGGATGAGGACTTCGACAATCAAGTTAGTCGAGCGTTTGAAGGAAAGCCGAGGTCCAATAAGAGAGTAATGATTAGCTTAAGTGTGCGTAAGCCTACCTTTAGGTTGTGGTGCCTCTTTTATGGTCGGAGTCGCCTAGGAGAGGAGTGATGAGTAGTAAGTAACTGTCCTGTCAATTGCAGTCATGAAAAGGGCAGCTAGAGAGATGTTGGTTGATCCTTATCCCTTCATAAGTGTGTCGGGAGTAAATGTGCCGAGAACATGGTGCCTGCATTAAATGCTCTTACAATAATGATTCGTGGGAGTTACCTTGTTGCCCTTGGACGAATACAAAATGACAGGGATACCCTTAGGTAGCGCCACATGTCAGCATCTGGTGTCTAACTGAATATGCTTACATCACTAACTTAACTTGATGATTTTGGATTGGGTTAGGATCTAGTTAACCCAATTTCTTCACTTCTTATTTGTTTTTTATATAAAATGTCCTCACTAAAATTTAGAATTGATCAATTAAGTTTAACTATATTTTGACAAGGTTATGGCACTTTAGGTCCCGTTCACTTTTCGATAAGTTACTTACTCGGGTAAATGCAATTATCTGGCTAAGTTTTTCTGGTAAACACTTACTCGGGTAAGTGCATTTACCCATGTTCTTTTATTTTATAGGTAAATAAGGTAATGACCATTTTAGTCATAAAAATCCATTCTTAAAATGGGCATTTTTGTCCCATTCAAGTGTTAGCAACTTTCCCCCTAGGTGGGAAAGTTATTTATCCAAATAAGTGATACCAAGGAAAATAAACTTTCATTAGTCCCCACAAAAATCTGAAAAATAAACATGAGATTCTTGGTCAATGGAAACCAAAATCCTATTGATCAACTTCCCCCCTCTCAAAATCCAAAAAAAAAAAAAATGCCCCCCTTAGGAATATCATTCTTCTGTTATACAAAATTTTGCATTCAAAATTAAAATTGTTATACACATTATACACATACATGTATGGATCCATGAAAATATGATGACATGTGATGTAAAGCTAGTCCACATGCTTGTTTCGGCTGGCATAGACTAGGCCCATGCATATATTATTTGGTTTGGGATGCAGGCCAGGTTGGGCCTATGCATTTCAAAATTCACTTATTTTTGTTGTGAAAACCCAATACGACCTGGTCCATGAATATCCCTAGCTATCGTTTTTTTTTTCTTTCATTTTTAATATTATATATTTCATATATATCATATATATAAATATATTTTATAAAATATTATATCATATATGTAAGATACCATTAGAGGTGTAATGTGGGCCGTGCCAAGCTGACACGACCCAGTTTTGTGGGCTGCTTGCACTGTAGTGGGCCATGTTGAGCCTGCTCATCATGAACCCCCGAGGAAAGCTCGACAGAGCCTGGGGCTAGGGGCCTATACTGAGCCCAATCAGGATTTTTTAAGAAAAATGAAAATATTAAAATTAAAAAAATTATATATATATATATATGTTTTGGCTTGATGGAGGTGCTGGGCTGGGCAAGAGTGAAATATGTTTTCCGGGCCCGAATCATAAATGATCATCCTAACTTTGAGAATTATGTTTAGAAGGTCCGGTTGGGGCAGTGGAATTAGGGTTGACATCGACCCGATCCGATCCAGCCCGTACTGTACTCCAAGCCTCCTAGGCTCCTACATAGCAAGAGCACTAGAGCGAACTTGGATCTCCTACCCACATGCACATCTTATCATTGAGAACATCCTCGTACTTGAAACGTGAGATGTTCTCAATACACGATTGGGATGTTCTGTAGGGCGCTAATGTAAATTCCCTATCCACAACCACCAAAAGGACACTAAAATCAAGCAAGCAGCCAAACTGGCGCATGTTAGCAGGAATAGCTAGAGACAGTTAGAGTGCACATGATAACGATTTTCGGACAGTGTACTTTTTTATTATTGTTTAAATAAATAAATATTTAATGCTGCAACGAAGTTGCCTTCTTGTGTAGACTGGCAGGTGAGAAACTCTGTTATTGTTTAACCGACTGCTTTGCGGGAGAGAGACTGTGAGACCTTTCAATTGCTCTTCTTTTGCAGTCAAAATCAGATTTTCAGGGTCTCCAATTCCGAGTCCGCTGATCTGTGATGAGTTCTATCTACTTTAAACCACTCAGAATCGTTGGGTTTTAGATGAAAATCATTCGATGACCAATGGCACCATCTTTGTCAGCGAACGGAGAAACAGCCGTTTCGCTCTTGTATACAGATAATTTTATAGGATTTCTTCTTGCTGTAGCCTCTAGTGCCTTCATTGGATCCAGCTTCATTATAAAGAAAAAGGGTCTGAAGCGGGCGGGGGCGTCGGGTCCTCGTGCTAGTAAGTCAATTGGACGGTAACCTTAACCCTAATTTTTCTATCTGGATTTTGTTTTTCTGAGGTTATAGTGATTGTAGATTGGTTGACTCGTTGATTTAAGGTGTTGGAGGGTACGGGTATCTGTTAGAGCCGCTTTGGTGGGTTGGCATGCTTACTAGTAAGTTGTGTTTTGATGCATTAGAATTTTTGACATTTTTGAAGGAAATGTTATATTTGTTTGTGAGGTTTGTGAAAATGTGACAGTGATTGTTGGGGAGATCGCGAATTTTGTTGCTTACATTTTTGCTCCTGCTGTTCTTGTTACACCACTGGGGGCATTGAGTATAATTGTTAGGTAAGATCTATTTTTTTATTCGATTTAGGTTAGTTGAAGTATGGAATGTAGTGACTGGCTCTGATTTTGATTGGTGTTGGTGGTCTTCGGTGTGCTTTCTTGAAATGGACAGTGCGGTTCTAGCACATTTTCTGTTGGATGAGAAATTACAGAAAATGGGAGTACTGGGGTGTATTCTATGCATGGTGGGGTCTACAGTGATCGTACTTCATGCTCCTGAAGAAAGTACTCCAAATTCGGTATTAGAAATTTGGGGTTTAGCAACCCAACCAGGTATCTTTACCAATTTCGTTATCATTACTTTAGTTTATTTGTTACTTAGTTTCTCTTGTCTCTAGTTCTATGATCTGATTTGATGTGTCTGCTCCAGCATTTCTTTTGTATACAGCATCGGCTATAGCTGTGGTTCTGGTACTGATGTTGCATTTTGTGCCGCGATATGGGCAAACAAACATTCTAGTGTACATAGGCATATGTTCTATAATAGGATCTTTGACGGTATGTAGTTCTTCCTTTTATAAAAACCCTTGTTTTAAACACAAAAGTTAGTTTTATATGTACCACAGTTATATTATGCATTAGATTCACTAGCTGATGTCTTTTACAAATCCATCTGGTTTAGTATTAGATAATATAAAACAATTACATGTTTTTGGTCAAAGCTTTGTGTTTTGTCTTGTATCACTTTCTATCACATGCCCCATCCAGTATTCTTGTTAATGACTGTGGTATTGGCAATGCATTTTGATTTTGCCTTTCTGGTTTCTGGTTTCCTTTGTGCAAATTTCTTCTGTCTATGATATGCCTATGATGTTTTGCAGGTTATGAGTATAAAAGCGATAGGTATTGCAATAAAACTCACAATTGAGGGTACAAACCAGGCAGGGTATTTCCAGACATGGGTATTCGCAATGGTTGCAGTGACATGCATCATCACTCAGTTAAATTACCTGAACATGGTTGGTATTTCTTAAACTTATCCCGGATTTGATGTCATTAGTGTTTGTGGGACAACTGCATGATTTACTTTTACAGATCTTCGATTGTTCTGCATTATTGGTTAAATTTTGTTTTCATAAGGATATAAAATATAAAATATTTATTTCAGTTTTTAATATCTTGCTTTTTGTTTTTGCATTAATGAACAAGCCTCGTCCCAACTATATGGGGTTGGCTAGCATCTGAGGGAGAGAAATAGAACTGATATAAAAACAAACTTTAGCCAATTACAACAAACAATTTTTTTTTTTTGATAAACCCAATTACACCAAACAATTACTAACCTTCTAATAACTATCAATTGATTTTGTTACCATTTGACGACTGACTGATCATTAGAGTGTGGTTACAGTGATTACATCCTATCTGACTAAGAGGAGGTGGTTCTGGTCTCAATCCTTTTTTTCTGGGAGAATGTCATCATGTTAAGATAGCAAGGGAATCCTGTCAGTCTGGGCTCTTATGCATCTCAGATATATCCATGGATTGATCATCTTCTCAAATTCCTTTCTAGCTGTGAGGTGACTATGTGTTTATCATTGAGATATTGAAGGATTTTGGAATGACGTCCAACTGGTAATCAGAGTGTGGCACAGTGATTACATCCTTCTTCGTCAAGAGCAGGCAATTGCACTGTTAGTCCTTCTGGAGGATATCAAGTTAAGATGATGACCCCAAGCATATCTCACCAGTTTGGGCTTTTATGCATTTCAGATACATTCGTGGATCATCACCTTCACATATTTCAGCAAAGTGACTCGGCTTATGTTGAGATTTTGTCATTGATCTAGAGTTTGAGGCTTTTAGCATCTATGAGTTATGAGCATGCCATTATAAGGGGGGATACATATATATGTATATTTTTTTTGATAGGTACATTATGATGGAGAATCACAAGTTATAATATGGTTCATGTAAGGGAAAAGGGAGATGCTCTTTTTTTCTCTTTTCTTTTTTGTATTTTTTTTTTGGGCAGGGGGAAGGGGGTAACGTTTAGAAAAGCAAAAGTTGAGCACTTAATTCCTGTTGGCTCCACCCATGTGTTCATGACTGATGTGTTTTTCAGGACCTGGAGACGAAGAAGGTGATTGGGACTGGCCGTGAGACGAATGGGATCTATCTGCTCGGGGAGAGTTCTCGTCGGGAAGAGTCAGTGGATAAGAAGTTACTTGTTTCTCAGGTTGTGAGTCCGGTTATGCTTTGGCATA